CGAATATGGAATGTTTCTCCTCTCTTATTTCGTTGAGCAGTGGTTTGCAGTTCTCCTTGAAGAGGTCCTTTACATTCCTTATTAGTTGTATTCCTAGGTATTTTATTCTCTTTGTAGCAATTGTGAATGGCAAATTATTCTTGATTTGTCTCTCTTTCAGTCTGTTATTGGTGTATAGGAATGCTTGTGATTTTTGCACATTGATTTTATATCCTGAAACTTTGCTGAAGTTGCTTATCAGTTTCAGGAGATTTTGGGATGAGATGATTGGGTCTTCTAGATATACTATCATGTCGTCTGCAAATAGAGACAATTTGGCTTCCTCCTTTCCTATTTGAATACCCTTTATTTCTTTTTCTTGCCTGATATCTCTGGCTAGAACTTCAAGTACTATATTGAATAGGAGTGGTGAGAGAGGGCATCCTTGTCTAGTGCCGGATTTCAAAGGAAATGCTTCCAGTTTTTGCCCATTCAGTATGATATTTGCTGTTGGTTTGTTGTAAATAGCTTTTATTATTTTGATATATGTTTCGTCAATACCGAGTTTATTGAGGGTTTTTAGCATAAAGGGCTGTTGAATTTTGTCAAAGGCCTTCATGCATCAATTGAGATAATCATGTGGTTTTTGTTTTTGGTTCTGTCAATGTGGTGAATTACGTTTATAGACTTGCGTATGTTGAACCAGCCTTGCATCCCTGGGATGAAGCCTACTTGATCATGGTAGATAAGCATTTTGATGTGCTGTTGCAATTGGATTGCCAGTATTTTATTGAATATTTTTGCATCTATGTTCATCATGGATATTGGTCTGAAGTTTTCTTTTCTTGTTGAGTCTCCACCAGATTTTGGTATCAGGATGATGTTGGTCTCATAAAATGACTTGGGAAGGATTCCCTCTTTTGGATTATTTGGAATAGTTTCAGAAGGAATGGTACCAGTTCCTCTTTGTGTGTCTGGTAGAATTCGGCTGTGAACCCATCTGGACCTGAGCTTTTTTTGTGTGGTAGGCTCTTAATTGCTGCCTCGACTTCAGACCTTGTTATTGGTCTATTCATTGTTTCGGCTTCCTCCTGGTTTAGGCTTGGGAGGATGCAAGTGTCCAGGACTTTATCCATTTCTTCCAGGTTTACTAGTTTATGTGTATAGAGCTGTTTGTAATATTCTCTGATGATGGTTTGAATTTCTGTGGAATCTGTGGTGATTTCCCCTTTATCGTTTCTTATTGCATCTATTTGGTTATTTTCTCTTTCTTTTTTTTTTATTAATCTGGCTAGTGGTCTATTTTGTTGATCTTTTCAAAAAAACCAGCTCCTGGATTTATTGATTTTTTGAAGTTTTTCACATCTCGATCTCCTTCAGTTTGGCTCTAATCTTAGTTATTTCTTGTCTCCTGCTAGGTTTTGAGTTTTTTTTTAATCTTGCTCCTCTAGCTCTTTCAATTTTGATGATAGGGTGTCAATTTTGGATCTCTCCACTCTTCTCATGTGGGCACTTATTGCTATATATTTTCCTCTAGAGATTGCTTTAAATGTGTCCCAGAGATTCTGGTATGTTGTGCCTTTGTTCTCGTTGGTTTCAAAGAACTTCTTTATTTCTGCCTTCATTTCATTGTTTATCCAGTCAACATTCAAGAGCCAGTTGTTCAGTTTCCATGAAGCTGTGCGGTTCTGAGTTAGTTTCTGAATTCGGAGTTCTAACTTGATTGCACTGTGGTCTGAGAGACTGTTTATTATAATTTCTGTTCTTTTGCATTTGCTGAGGAGTGATATACTTCCAATTTTGTGGTCAATTTTAGAGTAGGTGTGATGTGGTGCTGAGAAGAACGTCTATTCTGTGAATGTGGGATGGAGAGTTCTGTAAATGTCTATCAGGTTTGCTTGTTCCAGGTCTGAGTTCAAGTCCTGGAAATCCTTGTTAATTTTCTGTCTGGTTGATCTGTCTAATATTGACAGTGGAGTGTTAAAGTCTCCCACTATTATTGTGTGGGAGTCTAAGTCTCTTTGTAAGTCATTAAGAACTTGCCTTATATATATGGGTTCTCCTGTATTGGGTCTGTATATATTTAGGATCGTTAGCTCTTCTTGTTGTATCGATCCTTTTACCATTATGTAATGGCCTTCTTTGTCTCTTTTGATCTTTGTTGTTTTAAAGTCTATTTTATCAGAGACCAGAATTGCAACTCCTGCTTTTTTTTTTTTTTGCTCTCCATTTAAATCTTCCTCCATCCCTTTATTTTGAGCCTTTGTGTATCCCTGCATGTGAGATGGGTTTCCTGGATACAGTACACCGATGGGTTTTGGCTTTTTATCCAATTTGCCAGTCTGTGTCTTTTGATTGGTGCATTTAGCCCATTTACATTTAGGGTTAATATTGTTATGTATGAATTTGCTACTGCCATTTTGATGCTAGCTGGCTGTTTTGCCCATTAGTTGATGCAGATTCTTCATTTTGTTGATGCTCTTTAGCATTTGGTATGTTTTTGGAGTGGCTGGTACTGGTTGTTCCTTCTATGTGTAGAGCCTCTTTCAGGAGTAGAACTAATATTAATGTGCCTTTTTTATTCCTGATTTTAGTAATGTGAGTTACCTAATTTTTCTAGATCAATCTTGCTAAAGTTTATTGATTTATTGTTGTTAGCAAACAACTTCTGATTTCATGGATTTTCTCTATTGTCTTTTGTTTTTCTCTTCAATTCGTTTTGTGCTAATCTTTGTTACTTCTTTCCTTAGGTTTGCTTTGGGTTTAAGTTGATACTTCAAATTTATTAAAATAAAAGTTAGTTATTAATTTGAAATCTTCTTTTTAGGTGGAAACTGAACAGCCTTCTCCTGAATGACTACTGGATAAATGATGAAATGGCTTTGTTTACCAGAACCTCTGGGACACATTCAAAGCAGTGTCTAAAGGGAAATTTATAGCACTAAATGTCCACATGAGAAGTGAGAACAGATCTAAAATTGACACCCTAATGTCACAATTAACAGAACCAGAGGAGCAAGATCAAACAAATTCAGAAGCTAGCAGAAGGCAAGAAATAGATAATATCAGAATAGAACTGAAGGAGATGGAGACACCAAAAAAACCTTCAAAAAATCAATAAATCCAGGACCTTGTTTTTTGAAAGTATCAACAAAGTAGATAGACTGCTAGTCAGACTAATAAAAAAAGAGAGATAAGAATAAAATTGGTGCAATAAAAAATGATAAAGGGGACATCACCACCAATCCCACAGAAATACAAACTACCATCAGAGACCATTACAATCACCTCTATGAATATAAACCTGTAAATCTAGAAGAAATGGATACATTCCTGGACATGCCTTCCCAAGACTAAACCAGGAAGAAGTTGAATCCCTGAATAGACCAATAACAAAGTCTGAAATTGAGGCAACAAATAATAACCTACCAACCAAATAAAGTACAGGATTAGACATGTTCACAGCTGAATTCTACCAGAGGTACAAAGAAGAGCTGGTACCACTCCTTCTGAGACTATTCCAAACAATACAAAAAGAGGGACTCTTCCCTAACTAATTTTATGAGACCAACATCATCCTGATACCAATATCTGACAGAGACCAACTAAAAAAGAAAATTTCAGGCCAATGTCCATAATGAACATGGATGCAAAAATCCTCAATAAAATGCTGGCAAACCAAATCCAATAGGACATCAAAAAGCTTATCCATCACAGTCAAATCAGCTTCATCCCTGGGATGCAAGCCTGGTTGAACATATGCAAATCTATAAATATAATCTGTCATATAAACAGGACCAAAGACAAAAACCACATGAATAACTCAATAGATGCAGAGAAGGCCTTTGAAAAAAATTCAACAGCCCTTTATGCTAAAATCTCTCAATAAACTAGGTATCGATGAAACATATATCAAAATAATAAGAGCCACTTATGACAAACCCACAGCCAAAATCATACCAAATGGGCAAAACTGGAAGCATTCCCTTTGAAAACTGGCACAAGACAAGAATGCCCTCCCTCACCTCTCCTATTCAACATAGTATTGAAATTTCTGGTCAGGGCAATCAGGCAAGAAAAAGAAATAAAAGGTATTTAATTAAGAAAAGAGAAAGTCAAACTGTCTCTATTTGCAGACGATATGATTGTATATTTAGAAGACCCCATTGTCTCAGCCCAAAATCTCCTTAAGCTGATAAGCAACTTCAGCAAAGTCTCAGGATACAAAATCAGTGTCCAAAAATCACAAGCATTCTTATACACTAGTAACAGACAAAAAGAGAGCTAAATCATAAGTGAACTCCCACTCAAAATTACCACAAAGAGAATAAAATACCTAGGAATGCAACTAACAAGGAATGTGAAGGACCTCTTCAGGGAAAACTACAAACTAATGCTCAAGGAAGTAAAAGAGAACACAAACAGATGGAGAAATATTCCATGCTCATGGTTAGGAAGAATCAATATCATGAAAATGGCCGTGTTTCCCAAAGTAACTTACAGATTCAATGCTATCTCCATCAAGCTACCATTGACTTTCTTCACAGAATTGGAAAAAAAACCTTAAACTTCATATGGAACCAAAAAGAGCCTGCATAACCAAGACAATCCTAAGAAGAAGAAGAAAAAAAAAAACTGGAGGCTTCATGCTACCTGACTTCAAACATTTTTTCTTTTCTTTCTTTTTTTTAATTATACTTTAGGTTCTGAGGTACATGTGCAGGTCATGCAGGATTGTTGCATAGGTACATACATGGCAATGTGATTTGCTGCATCCAGCCCCCATCACCTATATCTGGCATTTCTTCCCATGAATTGGAAAAAACCACCAACTGACTCTCACTAGCATTCTTATACACTAGTAACAGACAAAAAGAGAGCTAAATCATAAGTGAACTCCCACTCAAAATTACCACAAAGAGAATAAAATACCTAGGAATGCAACTAACAAGGAATGTGAAGGACCTCTTCAGGGAGAACTACAAACTAATGCTCAAGGAAGTAAAAGAGCATTTTTTTTTTTTTCACGACCGCCAGCGGTTTATTGGCTATTTAGTAAATGCCTCTTGGCTGAAAACTTTTCCATCTTTTCCCCACAGGGGTTCAAGCTGACGGCATTTGCCATCCTATGGGGTCCAAGGGTCAGGGTGGACGGGGAAGAAAGGGTTGTGTTGCCTCGACTCTCCAGCCGCCTCTACTTGGCAAGGAGTCTTGCTGCTGCATGGTGACATGGGCCATTCATGCTGGGGCAGAGCTGGCAACTCTGGGGCCTGGGTCTAAGGTACCATCTTCCACCATTTGAAGGCAAAGGGCACTCGGCGGACGGTGGCACAGGCACAGATATCTCCCACATCCGCCAGGTAGCAGTCGAAGTCACTGGCGAAGGTGCACTTGAAGCCCAGGGGCTCCAGCAGGCAGCGTATCTTTTCTTCCAGGCAGCAAGTGCCCCTGATTTGGGGCCCAAAAGGCTTGGGGATCCCCAGGTTCTTGCCCATCACAATCATCCGCAGCAGGTTAGGGAAGTATGGCCTCGCGAAGCTCGTCTTAGGCTGCTGATCAGAGGGCACATTAGTCAGCTTCTCTAAGCAGAACAGCTGGGGAATCTCGATGATGTCCTGTTCCACCAGGCCCAGCTCTGTCTTCAGGATGTCATGGTTCAGGTGAATGCACTTCTCCACATATTCATTCTGCTTCCTCAGGCTTTCATCAGCCAGAAGTTGGTCAATGGTTTTGGCTTCTCTTCTGTTAGACAGGAGTTGATCTGCTCTAACTCCGTCAAACAGAAAAGCATCACCATAGCCTTCCTTCCGTTTCTCTTGGAAGAGTTTGTAGCAGGCGCCGGGGCTGGCCAGGAGCAGCTGGAAGCCCTTTTTGCCCTCACTCTTATCATCTGTGGGGATGAAACACATGAACTCATCCACGTGGCCAGTCATCAGCCAATCTGAGTAGAGCTCCACCGGTGCTTGGACCTGCTGGGCATAGAGGAAGTCTCGGAGGGTCTTACTCATGGCCCGGCCCTCCATGCTGGGGTAAAAGCTGCTGCCAATGAGGACTCTGCCCAGGGGGTATTCTTTCCCTTGGACCTTGACAGGTGGGGACACCATCACGTTCCCGATGGAATCCATGCTGGCCACTTTATGGTCTTCAGTGTCGTGGATCATGTAGCCAATACCGGGGCTCAGTGAGTATTTCATGGGGAACTCATCAAGATTGGGGGCTCGAGGCGTGTCGAGGATCAAGGATGTGGTCTTGTGGGGCGCCTGGGTGTAGCAGAAGGCCATCTCATCCTGGAGCCACCTGCCCAGGCGGCTGGGGTCCTCGTAGACAGAGGCCACCTGGCTGTTGCTCTTCTTACTCAGCTCCATCACTGTGTCCACAAAACCCTGCAGCTGCAGCTCCCTGCACAGATAAACCTCCAGAGGCACCTGGGTGCAGGGAATGAAGATGCAGGGAGCCACCCGAAACACCACAGTGTCTTTGTACAGCGGAGTCTCTGGAATTAACGGGTCTTGAGACTCCTCCACCAGGGATACAGAGTAGGTGATCAGGCCTGAGAATTCAGCAGATGGAAACTCCATAGCTTCAAGGTAGAAGGTCTCTTTCAAGTGGTCCCCGAGGAGAGCCAAGGTATAGGCATGCTGGCTGGGCCCTAGCACCAACTCAAAGGTACTGGAGTTGTCTTTTCGGGGCCAGTAGACTCTCGCCTTCTTCGAGATGTGTGATGCTCCCCTCCCTGTGTCCATGTGTTCTCACTGTTCAACTCCCACTTATGAGTGAGAACATGGGGTGTTTCATTTTCTGTTCTTGTGTCAGTTTGCTGAGAATGATGGTTTCAAACTATAATATAAGGCTACAGTAATCAAAACAGCACAGTACTGGTACCAAAACAGAGATATAGACCAATGGAACAGAACAGAAGCCTCAGAAGTAATGCCACACATCTAAAACCAACTGATCTTTGACAAATCTGACAAAAACAAGCAATAGGGAAACAATTCCCTATTTAATAAATGGCGTTGGGAAAACAGACTAGCCATATGCAGAAAGCTGAAATTGGATCCCTTCCTTCCACCTTACACAAAAATTAACTCCAGATGGATTAAAGATTTTAACATAAGACCTAACCCCATAAAAATGCTAGGAGAACACCTAGGCAATACCATTCAGGACATAGGCATAGTAAAGGACTTCATGACTAAAACACCAAAAGCAATGGCAACAAAATCCAAAATAGCCAAATAGATCTAATTAAACTTAAGAGCTTCTGCACAGCAAAAGAACCTATCATTAGAGTGAACCAGCACCCAAGAGAATGGGAAAAGATTTTTGCAATCTACCCATATGACAAAGGGCTAAAAACTAGAATCTACAAAGAACTTAAACAAATTTACAACAACAACAACAAAAACCCATCAAAAAGTGGGTGAAGTATATGAACAGTCACTTTTCGAAAGAAGACATTTATACAGCCAACAAACATATGAAAAAAAGCTCATCATCGCTGGTCATTAGAGAAATGCAAATCAAAACCACATTGAGATATCATCTCATGCCAGTTAGAATGATGATCATTAAAAAATCAGGAGACAATAGATGCTGTAGAGGATGTGGTGGGAGTGTAAATTAGTTCAACTATTGTGGAAGACAGTATGGTGATTCCTCAAGGATCTACAAATATAAATACCATTTGGCCCAGCAATCCCATTACTGGGTATATACCCAAAGGATTATAAATCATTCTATTATAAAGACACATGCATATGTATGTTTTTGTGGCACTGTTTACAGTAGCAAAGACTTGGAACCAACCCAAATGCCCATCAATGATAGACTGTATAAAAAAAAAATGTGGCACATATACACCATGGAATACTATGCAACTGTAAAAAAGGATGAGTTCATGTCCTTTGCAAGGACATGGATGAAGGTGAAAACCATCATTCTCAGCAAACTGACATAAGAACAGAAAACCAAACACATGTTCTAAGTCATAAGTGGGTGTTGAACAATGAGAACACATGAACACAGGGAGGGGAACATCACACACTGGGGCCAGTCAGGGGGTAGGGAGGTAGAGGAAGAACAGCAGGGGGTGGGGGGATTGAGAAGGCATAATATTAGGAGAAATACCTAATGTAGATGATGAGGGGATGGATGTATACCTATGTAACAAACCTGCACGATTTGCACATGTACCCCAGAACTTAAAGTATAATCAAAATCAAAATAAAAAAGACTTGAAAAAAAGATGTTTATCTCTTCCTATTTTATAAATTAATTTAGAAGTTTCTTTGTGTTGATTTTCAACCGTGTCTTAGATCTTGATGAGCTGCTTTGCAATCTACACTTTGAATTCTTTCCCTGTCATTTCTGAATTTTCATTTTGGTTAGGAGTCATTGCTGAAGGGCTAGTGGGATCCTTTGACGGTATCACAACATTCAAATTTTTTATGCTGCCCAATTCTTGTGCTGATTTCTCCTCATCTGGAGATGCTGGCATTTCTAAATTTGTACATATATTAATGAAGATAGAATTTTTTTCTTTCTCCTTCCCTGCTCCCTATGGGGTGGGAGAATGTAGACTGTCTCTATACTGTGACTGTAGAGAATGATGTCTAGGGTTCTTTTGGCTTTATTTCTATATCCCTGTGTAATTCTGTTGGCAGGTTTTATATTGAACTGTGTGGTTTGATCTATAGGCCTGTAGATGGTACTTATCAGTAAGAGCCATCTATAGCCAACATGGATGGTCATATACTTGGTCCTTGCTTACTGGAAGCTCTCTGTTGCCTCAGGCAATGGGCTTATCCATAAAGTACACAGTAGTCTGAGATGTCTACTCATCCCAGGGTTGGGGGCAAGATGGGCAGGTCTTCACTACACAGTCCTGCTTACGGATCCCCCAATGGCAAATACAAGCACCAGAATGGAGGGGGAGAAAGTAGGGAGCAACCAAGTGCTCCAGAGCTGTGTCTAGGCATGGAGATGAGGAACACATTGACCCCAAGTTCTCTGTATGGTATAGGGAATGCTAAACTCTCCAGAAAAGTGTGTGCTCCAGATGTTTGGAAATATATGTTAAGTGTGGAGTGTAGAGGGCCCTAATATACTACAATCTCTTCAGAGGGAGGGTGGGCTGATTCAGCTGGTTATCCAGGTGAGCAGGTGCTCCAGATGTCTGGAGATCTTCCTGAGCATAGAGTGGAGAGGGCCCTGCTTCACCACATCTCTACACAGGAAGGATGGGTGGCTCAGGCCATCCAGGTGAATAGGAGATCTGTCTGGAAGCAGAATGTAGAGGGTCTCACTGCACCATGACCTAGAGAGCATATATTTGAATCATGCTTTTTATTCCTTCTACTAACATTTGCCTTTTAACTTGAAATTGAAACCACTATATATATGTAATGTAATTAATTGTAAGGTAGGCTCTACATCTACCATACTGCGATTTGTTTTCTGTAGGTGTTATGGATTTGTGTTGTCATCTCTTTCTCCATTATTGTCATATTTCATGTTAGATATTTCTATTGTAACATTTTAATATTTACTATCTTATTTTAGTTTTCTAGTTGTTGTCTTAGGGATTATAATTAACAACTTAATTTATAGTAATCTCATTCAGGTTAATACCAACTTAATTTCAATAACATAAAAATTATCTCCTGCATAGCTCCATTTCTTCTCTCCTTTAGAGTGTTATCACAAATTATATTCTTATATATGATGTGCCCATTAACACAGATTTAAAATTATTGCTTTATTTAGATGTCTTTTAAATCAGATACAAGAAACATTTAAAAACAAAAAATTTATTTACACTGTATTGTATTTATTTAAGAAGCTATTTTTGCTGGTGCCCTTTAATTCTTTGTGTGAATTTAAATTGCTTTCTAGTGTCCTTCCTTTCAGCTTGATGTACTCCTTTTGACTTTCTTACAGAGCAGGTCTGCAAGCAATAGATTGTCTCAAGTTTTATTGTTTGTTGGTTTTTTTAATCTGGGAATATCTTAATTTCTTCCTCATTTTTAAATAATAGTTTTTCTGTTTGAAATTTTTAGTTGAAACTTTTTGGTTTATTAGCACTGTAAGTATTGTGTCCCACTGCCATTTTGTGCTTGTGTTGTTCTGGTGAGAAACCAACTATTAATCTTATTGATGATACTTCGAATGAGATTAGTTCCTTCTCTCTTGCTTTCCCTCTCTTTCTGGTAGTTTGACTATAGTAAGGCTAGGTTTGTATTCCTTGAATTTGTCCTATAAATGAATTTAAAACTTTCAAAATTTGATTTTTAAGAAAGATACTAATCTACACTGGCTATCACATTTCAAATACTATTTCTGTTCCTTTTTCTCTCTCTTTTCTTTCTGGAACTCCCATTATGCATAAGGTGGTAAACTTGATGGTTTCCCACAGCCCCTGAAGCTCTGCTTATTTTTCCTCATTTTTTTTTCCCTTATGACTTTCAGATTAGAGCATCTCAATAGATCAATCTTCAAATATACTGATTCTATTGTTAAATCCTGCGTTTGATCCCTCCAGTGAATTTTCATTTCATTTATTGTATTTTTATCTCTAGAATTTCTGTTTGATTCATTTTTATAAATTATCTCTTGTTTTATAAATTGACACTATTTAATTGGTGAGGAATCGTTCACTTACTTTGCTTTAGAGTATGTTTTTTAGAACAGAATTTCATTTAACTTTTGAATATATTTTATGTAGCTGATTTAAAGCACAGTAAGGTCATTATCTCAGCTTTCTAAGGGACAGTTTCTATTGTCTTTTTGTTTGTTTTGCTGAGCATTGGACATTTTTACAAAAATATTTTTGCATGTCATATTTTTTATTGAAATTAAATTTGGAATTTTGTTACATACACACAACATTTTAAATAATCTAAAATGTGGCAACTCTGGAAATCAAGTCTGCTCCTCTTCAGAGTTTACTGTTGTTGCTGCTTGTTGTAGTAGATGTTTGTTTACTGAAACGAATTCTATAAATTCTATATTATTTGGCATATGTGGGCATTGAAGTCTCTAATTAGTTATTTAGGAATCAGCTAAACAATAAGAAGAGAGAAATTTTCTTAAATTCTTGCAACCAATATAGAGCATGACTTGAATACTCGGCCTGAGAGTTTGCAACCCTGCCTTAGCTTTCACTTACTGCTTGCACAGAGCGGGCAGGTCATTCTGAAGTGAGAGCCTAAGGGTTTTCTCAGGTCTGTCATGCACATATCCAAAGGCCTACACATTCACTCATGTACCTAGATTTTCAAGAATACGTCAGCACTTTTAAAAATAAACACTCCCTGCTTAGTGCAAGCCTTTTATGAATTTCCAAAATTCTGTAAAGAATTTCTGACAACTTCTCAAGTTTTTTTTCTCTTACGTAGAATTAAATTTTCAACAGTTTTTTCTCCACTATATTCAATGACATAAAGCCATAGTTAATAATTATTTATTTTAAACATTTTATTTCTAATTGCTGTGTGAGTTTTATCTCCTAATAGAAATCTAACTAATATGCTTGTAATACATTCTGTTATAAAATGATAAATTGAGTTAATGAAATTTACTCAGTAATCTGAATAGGAAATACTAACTCTTTAACCCCTAGCAATGGATTGAATTGAAAATTAATGATGTATAAAGGTATAGAATAGTCACAGTAAGTCTTCAAGCTAAATTTATGAAGACTCAGCAGTTTGGCCAACCAAAATAAATTCA